CTGGGGGGGGCGGGGGGGTTTGGGGGAGTCCGGGAGAAATTATATCTAAATCTGTCTCTATATAATTAGAATGCCATGAGGCAGGGTTAAACCTCTGTAAAACACACAACTGATTGGCGACTGCTAAAACGAGATTGGAAAGCAACTCAAATAAAAGACCGCGACGTCAGTAAACAGATTTAGAAAAAAAAAAAAAAAAAAAGAAAAAAAAAAGGAAAGAAGGAGCCGGTGACAAACCCGGCGAGAGCAGCTCCGGGCAGAGAGAGAGAGAGAGAGGCAGAGGGAGAGAGAGAGAGAGAGAGAGACTTAAAAGAAATAGGAGGGGCTTGCGGGAGACTAGAAATGTCAATCAGAGCCCGGAGTCCCAATAATCTCAGGCAATCTGTTAGGACCTGACCTGGGTCCACTCAGATCAATAGGAAAAGTGCGAGAAGAAAGCAGCGCGCGGCGCGCAGCGCGGCCGCAGCCAGGCGGGAGCCGCGGCCTCCGAGCTCCGCTCCCGATGCGGCCCGGAGCCGGCGGCGGGCGCTGAGCGCTGAGCTGTGCCGGCGGCCCCGCGGCCAGCCCCGCCGCTCGCTGCCCTTTCTCTCCCTTCTTCCCTTCTGCCCCCCCTCCCTACCCTTCCCCCTCCCCACCCCCCCCGCACCATGTCGTTCCCGCAGCTGGGCTACCAGTACATCAGGCCACTGTACCCCGCCGAGCGCCCGGGCAGCGGCGGCTCCCGAGGCGGCGCGGAGCTGGCCCCGTCCGGGACCCTCTCCAACGTGCTCTCCTCCATGTACGGCGCGCCCTATGCCGCCGCCGCCGCCGCTCAGGGCTACGGAGCCTTCCTGCCCTACGCCGCCGAACTGCCCATCTTCCCGCAGCTGGTAAGAGCCCCCCCGGGGTCGGGGCGGGGGGGTGCCGGGAGCGGTGCGCTTTGTTCGCTGGGCCCGGCCCGGCGCGGTCGGACGGTGAGGGAGCGGAGCGCGGCGCGGGGCCCCGGCGCACCCGTGCCGAGCGGCGCGCCCGGAGGTTCCGCGGCGGCTGTGCGAAGGAGCGGGTCGGGCAGATCCGGGGCCGTTCGGGCCCCGCGCCTCCTCAGCCCGCCGCCCCTTCCCTCTCGCTGCAGGGCGCGCAGTACGAGCTGAAGGAGAGCCCCGGGGTGCAGCACGCCGCCTTCCCGCACCACCACCCCGCTTTCTACCCCTACGGGCAGTACCAGTTCGGGGATCCGTCGCGGCCCAAGAACGCCACCCGCGAGAGCACCAGCACACTCAAGGCCTGGCTCAACGAGCACCGCAAGAACCCGTACCCCACCAAAGGTGAGAAGATCATGCTGGCCATCATCACCAAGATGACTCTCACCCAGGTCTCCACCTGGTTCGCCAACGCGCGGCGGCGGCTCAAGAAGGAGAACAAGATGACCTGGGCCCCCCGCAGCAGGACGGACGAGGAGGGCAACTCCTACGGCAGCGACCACGAGGGGGAAGAGGACAAGAGGGAGGACGAGGAGGAGATCGACCTGGAGAACATCGACACCGAGAACATCGAGAGCGCCAAGGACGAGCTGGAGGACGAGCTGCAGGACGCGGACCTACTGCACTCCGACTCCAAGACGGACTCGGAGGGCTCCGAGGGCTTCGAGGACCTGCCCGGCTCCGAGGAGCGCTACCTCGGCCCGGCCGCCGCAGCCGCCGCGGAGCCGCTCCGCCTCCGCCACCACCACCTCCGCCACCACCGCCACCACCGCCGGCCGCCCTGCGAGCTGCCCTCCGCCGGCCCCGAGCCGCCGCCGCCCGCCCCGCCGCCGCCGCCGCCGCCGCACCTTTCGTCCCCCTCCTCCGCCTCCTCGTCGGCCGCCTCCTCCCCGACGGACGCCGCTTCGGCCGGCACCGTGCCGAAGCCCAAGATCTGGTCGCTGGCCGAGACGGCCACCAGCCCGGACAACCCCCGCAAGTCTCCCGGCTCCCCGCCGGCGGCCGCCCCCCAGCCGCTGTCGCTGCCCCCTCCGCCGCCCCACAGACTCGTCTCCTCCTGCCCGCTGGGCAAGTTCCCCAACTGGACCAACCGCGCCTTCCCGGCCGCCTCCCCGCACCACCACGCGGCCCCGCACCCGCTGGCCTTACTGAACACTCCGCACCTGCTGGGGCTGGGGGCCGCCCCCGCCGCCGCCGCCTTCCCGCGGCCCGCGGAGCAGGCGCCGAGCGCGGAGCCCCCCGGAGCAGGTGACCGCTGAGGGACGCGCGGGGCGGGCGGGCGCTGCGCTCGGCTTCGCGGCGGCCGTCGGGCGCAGGTGGCTGCGGCGGCGAGCAGGCCGTGCGCGGGGATTGCGCGGGGTTTGCGCGGAGGGACGCGGCGCCGGGGCAGGCCGGGCCGTGCGGGCGGCTTTTTCCGTTTGGTTCCTTTTTACCGCCTCGAGACGGCGGAGCCGCCGTCGTTTTTGTCGCGTGCGCAAGTTGGCGAGGAGGGATCTGGAGTCGAGCGGCTTAATTCAGGGATGGGGCGAAATACATCGGGGGCTGTAAAGGAACGCTGTGTTTTCTTCTCTTTTTAGATCGATCTAGTGCCTTGGAAGTAGAGAAAAAGTTAATAAAGACAGCTTTCCAGCCAGTGCAGAGGCGGTAAGAGACGGCTCCGGAGGGCGCGGGCAGCCGGCGGTGCGCGGTCGCTCCGTGCGACGCTTCCCTTGGCGGGGCCGCTCCGTGCGGGCTGTGCCGCGGTCGGGGCCGGAGGGCGGCGGCGGGCATAGAGCGGCCGGGACGGGGTGCGGGGCAGCGCTGGGAGCGGCCCTAACAGCCCCGCTGTGCCCGAGCGGCCGCGGCCGCTCGCTGTGCCGCCCATACAACTTTTTGTATTTCTAAATAATTTAAAAATGCCACCGACAAAAATAGCGCTAATTATAATCGCAGAGCTCACGGCGGCCCAGCCCGAGCTGAAGCCAATTAAATCTTTTTTCTTTTTTCTTTTTTTTTTTTTTTTTTTTTTTGTGTCGTTTTTTTTTCCAGGCCCCAGAACCAGCTCGATGCCGCCATGGTTCTATCGGCGCTGTCATCGTCTTAGTTAATTTTTTATCGTTGTTGTAATGATTGTAAAAAGAAATCTCTGTATAGTTACGACGTTACGCATGTCCGTATGGTAAAACTAAAAAGGAAAAGAAAAAAAAAATAATAATACAGCCCCGCTTCTGTGCTCCCCCCCGGGTACCGGGCCGTGCGGTTGGTGGAAGTCCCGTGAGCGTCCGTTCGGTGTCTCGGTTTTTTTTGTTTTTTTTTTTCGTTTGTTTGTTTGGTTTTGTACATACCGTCAAACTTGTACATACGTGTGAACCAAATTGTACGAGAAAGTATCTATTTTTGGCTAATAAAGACACGGTTGCCACTTTGCCTACAGCCGCCTCTCGGCTCCGCGGTCGCTGCGTGCGCGGCCGGGCGGCTGCGGGAGCTCCGGGGCGGGCTGAGAGCGGGGCACGGCCGGCCGGCCGGCGCTCTCCCTGGAGCCGCAGCGCCCCCTGGCGGCGGCCGCGCGGGGGAGGCGGAGGGCGCTGCGGGGCGAGCGGAGAGGGGGATCGGCCGGGCCGTGCCCCGCGGGGAACCCGCGCTGCGTTCGGCCTCCGCGCCCCGTCCCGCAGTGAACCTCGCGGCCCCGGGCACGGCGCTGATCGCTGCGTGACGGAGCCGAGCGAGGGGCGGCGCGGGGCTCGGCTGGAGCTGGGATGAAGTTAAAGTACAAACAGAAGCACATAGCTGACATGCTTCAAGTTGAGACGGTTCAAGATATGCAAATGTGCGGGGCTGCGCGGTATTGACATTTTGAGGCCACGGTGATCGGAATGTATTATTTATAGGAGCGGGTTGCGCTAGGCCCATAAACTGCATCTTACGTCCTCGCCGTCGGTAGGCAGCAATACTGGAGTGCGTGTGCTCACACCCATATCCGTGTGTTAGTGCTCGTATCGCGAGTCCCACAGCCCCATTCCCATGCAGGCCGCGTGCCCCAGTGAGGCCCTCGGCCCCATTCCCCCCACGTCCCCTTCTCACATACGTTCTCTCTGGCCCTGGAAACGCGTCTGTCTCCTCGCAGTGCTGTCCCTCTGCCAGGAACCGTTCCCTTCCTGCGCTCCGACAGCTCCTGAAACGAAGGGAAGCGCCGTGGGTGGGTGCTGGAGAGCGGGTTGTTTCTCATGTAAATGTTACCCCGGCTCTCCGCACTTTGTATCTTTGCTTTCCCCTTTGCCAGTTCTTGCTGAGGGAAAAAAAAAAAAAAAAAAAAAAAAAAAAGATTAACAGCATGCAAAATGGGAGGGGTGGGGGAGAGAGCTAGAGGCAAATTTCCACATCCCCTTCCTTTGGGCGTCCTGGTAGCTTTTCCATAGAAACTTTCACCCAGTGGTCAGACAGACGCTTAAAAAAGGGTGGAAGAAAATAATGAGAGCACAATGGGAAAATGAGTGCCCCCTGACCCCCCTGGCATCACAGCATCCCCTGCTCATGGAGTGCTGGTGCTGAGCAGCCATGGCACTGTGACTGCTGCGTGGCTCCCTGAGGGACAGCAGCTGTGGTGGTGCTTGTGGGGTTCCCCGAGTGGAGAAAATTCCCAGTCATTTGGTGAGGAAACATTTTGCTATGCGTGTTTCTACAAAACACTAAAAACCCTGCTCGTGTTTTTTTAGCTATCACTCGTGCAGCCTGACGGCCTCCCGCAGCCCCAGCCCGGCCCGCGACAGCTCCGAGAGGCCTCTCCTCCTCCCTCCTCGCTGCTGGCTGCTCTTTTCCTGTCTAATCAATTATCTCCCTAGCTAGTCCTTCTCAAAGGTGAGAGCTCATTATGCATATTCATAAATCACGGCTCCCAGCCCTGACACTGATTGATGTAATCATCTCCTGCCCGCGCCTTCCTGCGCCCGAGGAGCGCAGTGCAGAGCGGTGGGGCTGGTGGTCGTGCAGGGCAGAGCGGGCAGCGTGGGGCAGGGCAGGAGGCAGCCCGAGCTGAGAGGTGCCCCGTGCAGCCAGCTCTGCACAGGAAGAATGGAAACGATGAGGAAAAGCCCCCCGACACACGCGTAGGTTTTACAGCCAGGAATCGGAACGGGCATGAAAATAACCCCCCAGATCTGACGTGTCAGCTCACGCTCTTGCTTTCATTTTCCTCGGGAAGTTAAAGCTGGAAAGCCGTATTCTGGTACTGATCTGATCACGAGCATTTAGATCTTTGATACAGTAAATAGCTTTAGCATTGTGCACAACTGTTCTCAGTAGCTACGTTTTAGAAACTGAAAGAAAAAAAGTTGCAAATGACGAAAGTTCCTGCTGAGAGGGCTGGAGAGCAGAAGGGCTCCCAGCGCACGGCTCTCGGATAGGGACGTGCATCTCATCGCTGTGATTTGTTTCCCAAGCAGGCTCCAGCACGGAGCCTTCAGATGCTGCTCAGACTGTGTGCTTTACCTGTACGGCTCACACTCACACTTTTAAAACACCTCTTTTTATCGCTTTGATCAGAACTATCAGTGTACCGGAGGAGCAATACAAAAATATATGCCCTGAAAATCATAACAAGATACAAATCAAAGGGAGCCCTAATCAAATACTTTTGAGAGCGTTATCTTCCTTGTTAACAAATGGTAATACGAAAATTAAGGCTTATAGCTTGCTTGCATTTTATCTAAGAGAACCAATAAAGATATCAGATGCTCTTTGTTTTAAATGTTTGAATGTAAAGCAGCATAATGAAGAACACGCACCTTCTAAGGGTTCGTTTGCTTTATGGATATTAACCCTTTGCAATGCTGGTGAATTTCTGAATTTGCAGAGTGAGGAGGAGGCTGTGCTGCTACCCATGTTTTTGGGGCCAGTCCTCGCTGCACTCGAGACAACATCTTTTTTTATTAAATGCTGAAATTGGAACAAAGCAACAATGGCTGCTTGCTAACTATGCATGTCCAACAGGCCTCTTTTCTATTCAGCAAATGGAAGATATTAAACAACATTTTGCTTAAAGGTACACCGAGGCCATTTCCATTAGGACATGGTGTCATTCATTTATTCACATGTTAAGTGGATGTCCTTGTGGCTAATGAGTAATAATCAACAGTGACTCCACTTTATTCCTTTGCTCCCAGCAATGTTAAATACTCTGATGGAGTCTCTTTGCTGACACACTAGAGAATATGGTTAAAAAGTGCTAAAGGACATTTTCAGCATAGAGCAGCCACATACACGCGTGCTGGAAAGAGCACTTTTATTACGGTCTGTTCGGCTTTGTTCCTGGTTAAGGCAGGGCACATGGAAAGCGCTGCTCTTTATCTGAAGGCAGTTTGTGCCTGAAGACCCAGAGCTCTCACGGCTCGTCGGGTTACTGTGGGGAGATGAGCTCTTGTCCACCTGGTTTATAAAAATAAAACAGCCCACTCCTCGCTTCTGCGGAGGGTTTCACACAGAGATGTTTGCTGGGGGAGTGATTTGGGACAAAACCTTCCCCCCAAAAAATCTTGTTTGACGTTTATTTTATAAAATAAAGAAGCTCCCCTACCAGCTAATTAATCCATTTCATTACATCAACCTCAGCAGCTAAGGAGGTTAATAATCTATATTAATATCTATTTTTTTCCTTCGTGCGATTGCTTACTCTGGAGTCTGCAGCTTGGTTGTCTCCCATGTCAATTCCTAAAGTTTGAAAGGTATAAATGAATCATTCTTGGTCATGATTAAGCTTAAGTTAGAAATAAAATATGTCAATCAATCTGGTTGGAAATGTTCCTGCTGTCTAAGTTGGTTATGCAAAACACTCTAAGGTGTATAGGCATGCTCAATTAGGTCAAGGGATCTGATGGCACTCCTACCCATAAATGTGTGTCACTTGGATTCCTCATTATTTTTAGCAGTGGTGAAAATGCATGTCAGTAGGCCAGCTAGCCAGGCTGGAATAAAATTACTTGCTGGGTATGCATGAAACTGAGGTTTTAATACATTCATATTATACCTGTTTTCAAGCAAAACAGTGGAAGGAAGATATGTCTCTCTCTCTCTGCCTAGAAAATACATGACTCACTCTATTGAATTTCTCAGCAATCATTAGTATAACTCACACCGGGCTATGGGATACTCAAGACACCTTTAGCAGCAAAATTTAAGTGCCTAAAAACATAGATGTAATGTGAAATTAGATACAAGGAGTAAAACATCAATTTGCTCTGTTACAGTCTAACTCGCTTCCAAGAGAGGCAAAGCGCAAGCTTCTTCACTGAGAGATGAGACCATCCCTATTCCAAAATAATTTAATGAAAATGGACATTCAAGATGGCTATCGAACAGCAGCCTTCATGCCCGAGCTGGATGGAGGCTTTTGCAAGTGATTCCCAGTGAAGACAGTGCCAGAAATGTACACCTGTTAGACAGCTTCCCTCCAGCGTACTAAATCAAAGTCTAACAGAATTGTGTTCATATAATTTTAGAAAAAAATACAAATTAAAATCCAGGACAGCAAGTGCTGGTGCTCACACCTTCCCTCCTGAGATTACCCGAGTGGCTCAAGGAGGGGGTCAGACCTCTGCTTTTACACCTCCCGTGCAGGCACTGAGGCACCTAGGCTCAAGGAATGGGGAGATAAACCAGCTAGGAACAATGCCACGCTCTGGCCTACTTCTGGTGTGCAAAAAATAAACAAAATGCAGGAAACTGGCAGAGGAAAATGTCGCTCCTAAGAGCCAGAGGCAGAACTGGTACTACAGGTAGGGCTGGTGTTTGTTACATGGGGCTCTTAAAGGTGGTTTTAAGGATGACGGTGTCCCTTTAAGGACAGCACCACACAGTTAATATTTTCTTTACTGACAATAAAATGCAATTAAATCCCATGAATTAATATATTCACTTCAGGAAGAATTCTCATTCTTTTCTTAGGATATCAAAATGGAGCCATCATCAGTCAGTTAGTTAAATAGGAGAATCTGGAGAGTAAGTAAATGGAAGAGCTTTCAAATGCAGGGCTAAAAATGCCCAATGAATGTGTAGGGGGCTTCAATAAAAAGATTTTGACTTGTGTTTTCACCCCTTTCCCACTTTGCTCAT